TTGTTTTATTTTGATTTTTTTTCATTGTGGCCGGCGAGGGTTACAGCCCTCACGGCCTAGTGAAGGTTCGGTTGGGCAAGGGCCGTGACCCTCACTGGCCACAATAAGAAAAAAGAAAAAAAGAAAAAAATGTAAAAAATTTGCAAAAATAAATAGAAAATTTGCAAAAATCGTCTACGTTAACGCCGGCTATCCCTGTTACCGATTTCAGGCTAAAATTGTCTGGAAGGACTACAATGGCAAATTGTCAAAATATTTAATATTAAATTGTCATAATTAAAAGGTTTATAACTGAATTAATCCTATATAATAGTTTTAAAACTTTTTTCACAATTTTCCCGATTTAAGATCTCATATTAACTTGCGGGGTGGAATTAGGGCTTCAGGGAGCGAGCGTATATATTGTAATGATCAGATTAGTCGCGGATCAAATGCAGTGCGGAGGAGCCAACTTGCAATGGCCCGATGATGATGTAGGAGGACAAGAGTGATGAAAAGATATTTGAAGTCACATGTTTTGTTCGTAACGAACAATTCCCGCATTGTATGTTTAACCATATGCGCATTATTCTCCGTGACGTTGGTTTCTTGAACACGCATCTCCATTAGAGGACAAATTGAGGAGAGGTGCTGCAACTACGTGCCTCGATCAAGATTGATTTAAAAGCCTCGCTAAGAGATCTATGTTAAGTAGAATGGCAATGTCAAATGTGTCGTGATCATCGACCCGATGACATTCACCATTCGGTTGGAGTGAACGGTCCGGGGGCAGGACAAGTGTGCGCGTCTTACTTCTTTTCGGATGAAAAACGAAACCCTAAGAAAGGCGTAGAATATGATCAGACGTACAGGACAATACAAAGCAATAGCTTTGCGTACGACTTGTTTCGTTTCCACCTATGTAATTGTAATCAAGGAGTGTTATCAACGTGCATGAAGCTGTATGTAGCATCAAAACAGGTCCTCATCACTTATATACGAAATGACTGAGGACGTGAACTTTCTATCCCTTACCGTATATAAGTTTATGTCACATGCGATTGGATTTTAATGTATACTTTCTAGTGACTGTGATCAATCCTAACCTAAGCAAGTGGTGGATTGAGATAAGTAAGAGGATAGAGAATCAATCTCCATCCTGATCTAGACAAGATCACTCATGCTTCGATATGGCCGTGCAAATCAAAAGCCAAGATTCTTCTCCTTGAATTGATGATGAGAAACCGAAATCACGACGAGTCGGAGCACAGGCGCATGCTTTACGAGATCGTCGTTGTCCAGAGTCCGAAACACAGTCCGAGGTTGTGTATACCAGAGTCTTGGCAATATGGTAGAAGCCCACAAGGAAAGACAAGCTTGACTTGAAAAGCTTTCCTTGACCGTGCAGCGTGTATGCGTTCCTTCCCACGAATCCCACGATGCAAGAATTGTTGCGAAATTCAAATTGGCATTAGTATAAATATTACGAACAATACAGAATTGTAAAGAAATGAAATTATAATAACATAATTGGAATCGATACAAATGGATACCGAGGCCTGTGTTCGACACAGTTTCCTTAAAACAGATTCGTTCTCTTCAGCACGCGTATGAGGTTTCGCGAACTTCTGTCTCTCAGGATACAACGGTCGACAGCTAAGAAGAAATCGGCACTTCAAAGCTTTCGGCGAACTTGAACAAACCGGAATCGAACACTAACAGTGCAAAAATGCAGAGAATTGAAAGAGGAATAATTCGATGATTTTCAAAATAGAATGGGAATAATAAATTAAAACTCATCGGGAATAACGGCCGATTAAAATTTGTAACAGCTTGAGTTGAAAATAAATCAGAAGGCAAAATTGGGCTCGTTGTGAGGCCCTGCAATCGTGCCCAAGTTTCAGCTCGTCGGGCGTCGGATTTGCACCCCTTGCGCCTGCACGCGAGGCATAGTATTTGTGCTATGATAGTTACCACTTCAAATGAATGTAACTATATATAAAACACTCCATAGCCTTTCTTTCTTTTTCAATGTGGGACTAATATTTTTTCACTTCCCACTTTCAACTCAAGGGTACTCTTTGAGCATCAATTTCTCATTCATTCACCCATCAATTTATCCCATATTTCCAACAAGAACACGCAATATCACCCAAGCAAGTAAAAAAGGAAACCTGCACATCAATCTCTATATTATCTACTTCCAAAAAGTAAGCATATGCGGACGGGTCCATCTTCATTAAAACCCCCGAAAGAAACCCCTTTCTTTGGTCAGAAGGCAGTAAAGATATTATGTGGTGAGACCAGTGGCCACAGCGATGAGGGAGAGGAGAGGAGAGGAGAGGAGAGAGCAGACTAAAGAAAGTTGAAGCTTTCACATTGGAATGGAGATCCCACACGATAGAAGTCAATTTGCAAAGTGATTGAATATTGAGGAGTTTGGTAGCCCAGCCGCCCCTTATGGCATGCAAATGCTGACCCTTTAAAAGGTTTTCTTTTTGCAGATGTTCAAGGTGTGCACACCAAGGAAAACCAGCTCTGTCTCTCTGTGGGAGTGCATTGACGCACTACTGTTGACTTGGGCAGTCATCCAACTTTGAACAATTGGAGGATGAGGGACCCCATGTTTGGTTCGTGCCACGATTGACATAGAGGGGGAGACAGTGTATGGACATAGGGAGCGTGATTGAGTCTCGTGCATTACGTTCATTAACTAATGCCGGGGTCTTAAAGTATTGCTACCAATAACATTACGCCATCGGTCTAAGTACGTATTGGATCCAACCTTGAAGGCGGAGCACGTGCGGCATCATTGATCGTACATAAAACACACACTGTGCTGGTGAATGATCTGGTATGTGCTTGCTTGCCTATATATGGCCATCCAACATACGTAAAATAAACAGATCAAGACTATTAAGTCATATGAACTGTACGTGGTACTTAGCAGGTTTATTTATTTATTTTTTGGTCGAAGTGGTTTTTAGTAGTTTGAAAATGGGGAAAAGTACCCAAAAAAAAATGTTGAACCTATTTCATTAGTATCAATTCAGTTTTAAACTTTTCAATTGAACCAATTTAGTCATAAACATTTTCACATCCAATTGAGGCCATCTAGCCAATTTAAGCCGAAAACTGCTGACGTGGACATTGACCATCCTACGTAGCACGGCTGGTGCTAACGTTGACATTTTTTTTAATGATTTTTCTGAATTTTTTTCTTTCTTTTTCTTAAATGGCCTATGCCGGTGGCTAGTGAGGCCCTTGGGTGAGGACAACCCTCGCCGGTCGACACAAGCCATGGAAGAAAAAGAAAGAAAAAAATTATTATAAAAATGTCCACGTCAACGCCAGCCGTTGCCCGGCGTTCACGTTAGCAATTTCCGGCCTAAATTGGCCGGATACCGACATGAAAAGGTTTAAGACTAAATCGGTCAAATTAAAAGATTTAAATTAGGTGTACGAATTTTTTTTTGTAGAGATTTCTATAGGTTAGACGCAACCCTTTTGAATAAGAGGTTAAACTGTTTCGTCTGAATCATCTCTCAGACGTCAAATACCTAGACGGTGTTTTCTGTTCTTGGGGAAGATAAAGATACAAGGGAGATAAGGGGAGCTGGGCATACGAGTACCGGCACATCAAAAAAATGTAATCCTGCAGCACGCCAAGTTTCTCATATAAATATGAGATTTCTATAGGCTGGACGCAAGAATTTTTTTAGAAGTGCACGGTACTCTGGCCGCCACGTATAGTGCGAGTGGGTGCTCTTTCCTTTGGTCATGCATGGAAAACGAGGCACGTTCAGTCTTTTCCCGTCCATCACATTTCGAGCAGACAATGGAGGCCTCGTTCGATAGTGGCATTCATCGAACGCATGATGATTGAGCCTTTGGAGAAGCTACGGGGCAAACCTTCCCCTTCGACGAAAGAGCGAGCCGAACTACCTAACTAAGGTTCAAATCACGCCCCGTCTCTTTCGTGATTTTCCTTTTTCGAGGGCGAAATAACTCCAACCTCGTAGTATGAATCGGCGTCTCGTCTTACCTCGAATTCAGCGATTCATCGGCTCATGTAGGTTAGCAAGGTTATTTGGGGAATATCGAAATTTTTGTAATTCTTTTTTGGTCAAATTTTTTTTTTGTATTTGAGATGAGTAACTTTTGTGTTGTTGAAAAAAAATGTACGATTTGCTTATGATTGGCGGCACAGGTTTTTTGTTTCAGTTTTTTTTTTGGATTAATATTACGAAAAACCTTAAACTGGTACGCTCGTGACAAATTTACCCCATGCTAATATTTTGATCATAAAAAATCGCAGACTGGTATACTTGTGATAAATTTATCCCAAACGAATTTTTTGACCACCAAAAACCCCAAACTGATATATTTGTGACAAATTTACCCTCTATTAAATTGAATTAATAAAACGAAAAATCACAAATTAGTAAACATGTGAAAAACGAAAGGATAAAACCCTAAACTGGTAACTCAAGAATCTGACAGTAAAATTTAACGGAAACTAACGAATGACAAATTTGTCATCGATGTACCGATTTGGGATTTTTGGTGATCAAAAAATTAGTTCGGGATAAATTTGTCATAGATATATCAGTTTGAGGGTTTTTCGTGATATTAACCTTTTTCTTTTTATGGGGTTTTTGCGATTTTTCGTGCTTTCCTGGCCCAACACGTGGCATGCTGGGTTTTGTCGGAGTGATGTCCAAAGCCATTCATCATGGGCTTTAGATACGCGACACGACAGGCCCGTCACGAGGAACGCGGGGCTGGTGAGATGTCGGAAATGCCCCTACCAGCAAGTTGCCGTTTTCCTCTCGAGAACCACCTTGTCCAAATCGAACCTCCCCTTTTCTCCCAACGGCTACTTCGCAGAGGATCAGTGAGAGAGAGAAGAAGAAGAAGACGCAGCAGGCATTTAAAAAAAGCGCAAAAGCTCTCCGCTTTCGTCTCCACCCATTTGCCTACTGCTGTTCATTCACTCGCAATAACAACGCTCCTCTCTCTCTCTCTCTCTCTCTGTGGATGGTGTCGATGTCGAAGTCGAGCATGGCGGCGAGCAACCGCGAAGGAGGCGGAGGGTTGGGAGGAGACGAATTCTACGAGGACATAGAGGCGCCCAAGTTCGTGGACTTCACCGCGCCCGATCGCTGCTGTCCCGACACCGACCGTTACTGGTTTTGCTTGCGCGTCGGTATGTTTTCGGCCCCCCTCACCGTCGCTCCGCTTCGTAATGTCCAATGTTTTCGCTTTTTCTTTTGTTGCTGTTGTTGTTGTTGTTGTTTTGATCTGGGGACTTTGGTAATCTCAGATTCGTTTAGTGTAGTTCTTGGGGAATTCACTTCTTGCTCATCGTTCGTCACTCTTGCCCTCATCAAGTCTGCATTTTTTGCTCGCTTGAGTTTGGTGCGATCTACTAGCCCATACTTTCCAAATCTTGTCTGATCTAAGAGTGCATTGCCAGTTTGAGATCTCATTCCTTGAATTCTTGAGCTCAAGATGCAGCAGTTTTATCTTTGCTAGTTCTTTGGGTTTGTTGGGTTTACAGGGTGTGATCAGAAGCATGAAGAAGAAATGGACTCTGAAGCAATTTACAAGAATTTCGTCCTCAGGGTCAGTTACTATGCCTACCTTTTTCCATCTTCACTTGTTTTTAATCATCAGTAGGGGAGGCCTCTAAGTCGGCGAAGTCACCACGATGCTGCTGATCTATTGCAGGTAATGGCAGCCAGAAGCCCCAACATAAGACTCCGCAAAGCTTTAACTAGAAAGCCGATTAAGTATGTACCGATCGCATAATCTTGGACTTGAATCTCCATCTCAACAGGGTTTAGCTTATGATGTGCCTCATTTCATCTTTGTTGTTGTTCTTTCATTGCTTTCGATCCTCAGCACCACAGCGAAATGTCCGCTGTCAGCTCCTGCGAAACCATCCAGATCGAGATTGCCAAGGTTGGCTATTTTATCTTCAATTTCTGGAAAGATAGTTAATTGCAGTAAAGAGAGGGTCAAATTAATTCGTCCAGTGGCTCTGACCCCTAACACTAAGGCAAAGCAGCCATCCAATGTGGCCAAGGCTTTAACAACCCCTAGAAACAACAAGAGAGTCTCGAATCCGGAACTATTTCGGAGTGTTAGGAACCCAAAGGTTAGGACTAATGCCACGCAGAACAAGAGACCGGTAGCAAAAGCTTTGGCATTTCCTTCACCCAAAAAGGCCACGAAGATTAAAATCTCATCAGAGTTGGATACTACTGCGGAAAAGATTTGTGCCGGGATGAAGAAGCTGGACATCGCAGGCCAAAAGAGGAATATATTGGGGTATGACACGCCAGCACCTCTTGCTGGCTCCAAGAAAAAAGTGCGTGCCAGGGAGGTCAAGAGTCGGGTTTTTGATTCGTTGCGGACTCAAAAGTGCAAGGGTGCAGATAAAGCTTCTAGATGTCTGAAGAAAAAGGACACGGCTGAAGATTTGAAAAACTGTTCTGATTCAGCCACAATTGAATGTACTTCAGGTGACTCGAGCGACATGGATGTCGACGACAAGTCCAAACGTGGATCTTTGGAAGCATGTCTTGCACAAGAAACCTCTCAGAATACTGCACTAAATGTACATGAAGAATTTTTGATGAATGTAAGCACGTTGGAGAAAAAATCAGGAGAAAGTCTAACTGAAGGTTCATCAAGTATAGTGGGATTTGAAAAGGCTGATGAAGGGCTGGGTTTAGGAGCTGACGTAGTTCCTACCGTCCAGGCAGTTCTAGACGAGGAGACGACTGAATCAACTTCTCAGGTAGAGGATGCGTCAAGCTTAGAGGAGGAGAAAATCCAAGAAAACACTGGCAAAACCAGTGACCAGAATGATGACGAAATTGGAGATCATGTCAAGGATAATGATGACAAAGAAAATTCCATGGCCCCCGATCATAACATGTATGAGCTCCTCTGCACCCATTTTCTTGTTATGCATTTGCTACGCTATGGTCTATAGTTTGCTCATTTTTCTTGATTGATAACTAATTCTTGATCCGTACTCATTTGTTTGTCCTTATTTTTCATTTCCTTCTCACATTTTGTTGCAGAGAACAGAATGGTGACTCCAACAGGAAAATCCTGGGGAAGCTTGATAATCACAAAAAATATGAGAAGGTTCATACTATCGATTCATTTGCAAATTGCAACATCTACTATTCCGTGTTCGACTATATTTCAGCATCTGAAATTTTTAGCCACCCAAAATCTTCAGGTCACTCAAACATTGATGAAGATAAAGCAGAGCTCTATTGCAGACAAAAGAAGTGCCCAGGGTGCGAAGTATGTAAAACCAAGACCCACCAATCCCAAGCCTTTCAGGCTAAGAACAGATGTACGTGGACTCAAAATGACTTGTTAAGTTGAATTTTCATTGATGTTGGCTGACAAATGTTAGCTATCAAAGGAGCGGGGAGTTCTCAAGGAAGCGAACCATGAGAAAAAGCTTTCTACGCCATTGAAAGAGAATGCAACTGCGGCAGGGTTTCCATCCAAGAAAAGTCAGAGTATACGGAAAGTAAGACTCCCATTTAGTTTGTTTCATGTCTTTCCCCTTATAAATCTACACAACTCAAAGTCATTTGCTTTGACTCTGCTGTCAGTAAAATGAACAATCCTCTGAAAAGCATTCGTTGTCATGAATTAATTGACATAAGACCAGAGAAATGCCAGGCGATCGGGCTAAAGCATTTCTTGATGACATAGTAATTATTACTACTTTCCGAGATTGCTTTACTACACTGACGTGGCTGAAATTTTTTTACTGACATGAAGCAGAAGATCAAAGCTCCTGAATCGAGCACTTTCCACAGTGAAGTCGGACAGAAAATGGCTGCATCTACTCCTGATAGATACACTATTTCAAAACAGCAAAAGAACCTTGCCCCTACAGTGTTGTGGTCCAGGGAAAGCGTCAAAAAGTCCAGAATACTCTCAGTTAGACGATTTGAAGGGCCTGGAAGGTGAGTGGCTGTTCTAGTTGGAAAACTGAACTTGACACATAAATCACTCATTTCCTATTGTCTAAAAATGTACTTAGAGGAATGTCACAGTGGGGTTCACAGAGAGGATTTAGATTATCATAGACTCATAGTACATCCTCACAATGCTTTTGCAGAAATTAGGAAAAAACATGAAAGCTCAGAGTGAGGATTTACATTATCGTAGACTCTGCACAATGCTTTTGCAGAAATTAGGAAAAAACATGAAAGCTCACAGAGAGGATTTACGTTATCATAGACTCATAGTACATCTTCACAATGCTTTTGCAGCAATTAGGAAAAAACATGAAAAGTCATTGTAGGCATCAAAGTTGAGGGTTAAACAGGTAACAAGAAGCTCACTGCTGTTTTTTATCTTTCTTGAACTTATAGTGCGCCATCAAGGAGAAAGGAAGTAACAGGTCAACTGAGTGTCATAAAGGAAACATCTGCAATGGACTGCGAGTCAAATGAAGCAGCAAAGATACGAGAACGTGGTGCTTCCTCAGCAACCAAACCTACTCCTTCCGGCACTTCGAGGTCATCGTCACGAGGCAGAAGGCTCCCAACCATTCCAAAAGAACCAAACTTCCATGATATCCATGTTCCGAAAAGCTGCATCAAGAAACTGACATGAGAGTGTATGTCTGTTCAAATTCTTTGGTTAGCTGAGTGTGATAGTACTGCTGTTCAATTGTTTCGTTGATCTGCGCTTTTAGATAAATTTGGAGGCTCCTTTTGGGAATTGTTTGTAACATGTAACATAATATTCAAATGATAATTTTTTCTTAAATTTATCACTTAACTAGTTTCTTCTTTTTTGTTGGCCATGATACCTTTAACTATTTATCAGTCAAATAATGAAAATGTTCAATTTGTCTATTTATTTTTTCTCAAGGGTAATGACATGATCATATTGTTAATTATTAATTTATGAGCTCTTTCGGTGTCGCTTGATCATGTTTGGATCTATTTGATTGATAAGTTTTAATAATAATCTTCTTTTTTAATTTTCATCAGGCTTCTTTATATTGAATAATTTTTTTAAATAATTAAATAGAATTTACGAGCTCTTTACATGTCACTTGCCTACTTGGGCCAATGATCGTGTCCATTCACATAAAAGACGAAAATGCATAGAATTTTGACCCAAGGGGCAATTATCGAAGCCCATTCTATCCAGCTTTCTAATCGTACACAGATCGGAGAGTTTACTATTCCTTGTCAAATTTGGTTTGTTTAAGGCATTTAGCTTCTTATAGATTGCTAAAGGATCGTGGTTAACAAGCAGCCAAATCATGACCATTGTTGCCAAGTAGCATCAACCTTTTACTACTTTAAACTAAGCAATGTGCACCTTATTGCTCAATCTTAGCGTGAAATGTCTGCTGGTATCCAACCAGGGCTAGCGTCCAGTGAAGATGGGTAAGGTAGCCTTTTGTCTGAACATTCATCGGTAACCTGGATGTGAAAAACGAAAATGATCACAGCCATTGTGGTGAAGAAGCATCAGCCTTTTTATACTTTCTCCTTTTTCTTTTGCTATTTGCCATGAACCTTTTCGTACTTCTTTCATACAAGCAAATGTGCATCTTATCGCTCGATCTTAGTGTGAAATATCTGTCAGTAATCAGCAGAAGGCTAGGGTGTCATAAATACAAATTTCACGCTTACGTCTTGTGATAGTTAGCGTTAACCTTTTGTTTGAAAAATCACTGAAAGGCTAAACAAGGGTCTTGTGATTGTAGTGGAACTCTGCTGATACACCACAAACTCTATAATCTCTTCTGCACAACTTGACCCATATATACACGAATTCTTGTCCAACCAACATCATATCACAACTTTCAGGCAATCTGCACTTCTCTTTTAGGAGCTATGTATCAATTGTGCACGCTCATCGTCAGTTGTGACAGGATATATGCGCTGAAGACCCTCAATAACATCAATAGAAGCTTGCTTATTTTGCCACGAGTTCAAAATGCTATTTCCTGCATAGTTTTGCAGCTCAAATGGCTGAGGTGACTTCCAGGTGACTATAAAAAATGACATTAACAAACTATTTGTGCAGCAAACACCCCACAGACCTCTTTGCAAATAACTTTGTGACCATCAGGTTCAAGTTATGCCACTCTACTGCTCATTTTCTAGCAAATTGTGTATATCCTTGACATTCCAAGTCAACTAGCAAATTTAAATTATATGTGCAAAATAAATCAGGCTTTGGTGAGGCGTTTGGCACATAAGAGAGCGTAAAACATCAAACACAATGACGCACGTTAAAAGCATCACACCAAACCATCTTCAATTTATTTGCAATCACCTTCCATTTCTGGACGCATCAACATCAAGATTGTTCTAGTGAGGTAGGTGAGAAAATTGCTTATACCCTGTCGTGTGCATCTTACACAAATTCACTATCCTCGGCTCTTCACAATATTCTTGAGCTTCTCATTTGCAGCCACAAGCTCTGCAGCTATGCCAGGTTCATTAGCAGAATGTCCCGCATTTGGAATCACCTGTTGATAGTGCAGCAATTTAATAAACAGGATAATGGAAGATTTTACTCCATAAATCTCCATGACATGCAGAATCAAAATCGTGAAATCATAAGCAAGAATTCTTATCTGAAGTGGCCATCCACAGAACCTCACAAATGCATCAACATGACTCATTCTGAAGTAACTACCATATTATCCAGTAAGAAATTCATTTGTAAATTTGACCTCCGCGTCTTAAAAACCTTTATTTATGGGCCCACCGCCCATCCAAGCCATCCTAGGCCCAAAGTGCAACTGGGTGGGCCTCGGCAAGTTGTTTCCTTCTTGGACCGGCTTGCCCAGCTGATTAGTTTTTGCATAGAAAATTAATTAAGTTTTGATCACAGTCGGGCCTGGACTAGGGCTTTAGGCTCCGTACCAGACACAATCTGCTCATGCCTGGCCATCAATCAGGTCTGGTTTCTTAAACCAAAGTTTGCCAAAAGAATTGGTAAGCTCATACAACAAATAGTTTGCGACATCATTATTATAGCTTTGCCTGATCATATGGCAAGACTAAACCATATGCAACCAAGTTGAAAACGAGAAAACAACTCAATTAATCAACAGACAGTCCGCCATGTACCTCTCTCTTCAACCTGTGCTGCAACGCTACATGCACAAAGTCTCTAACTCAAGTCGCTAACTCTCTACTACCTAAATCAAATTGCATACCTCAAGGAAGTCACACAGAAACAGGCATTGTTTCTTCTAAATGCAAGAATCAATACAAAAACTCAAAAACAACCAAGAAAAGCCAGAGTTAATTCTCTTCACATTGAGAGCATAACTCTATGATAAAAACATGGACATATCGAAGTGTGGCCCCCAGAAAATCGTACACCAAATGCTTGTCAATATCAATCTGCTGATAAAAGTAAGTCATGGCAGATTGTGCTGAAGGGCAGATACTGCATAATGGCACTCTACCAATGAAGTGCACTGTGTATAACTATAAGAAAAATGGACATCTTAACAAGTCACATAAATGAAGAAGCAAAAAGGATTTAATATAAAAGAGGAATGACGATGGGTAAGAAAACAGATGTGACTACTCAATCCAACTGAAAATGGCAATGAAGGTTAATTTTGTCCACCTAATTAGCTTAAAAATCCCTGCTTACCCTAAAATCTGCCTCTGGCCATGCTTTATGAAGATCCCAAGCAGACATCATAGGGCAGCAGACATCATATCTTCCCTGCAAGTATTTTTGGGGTAAGGCACTACCAGTTCTGTGTAAATGGCAGGTATTGTGCTTCAAGTGTTAAATGACACAAAAGGTAATGTAAGAGAATTAGTGTTCACAATCAGTTAGTGATTTTCGTCCATGTATTATTCATAGTTCGAGAAGTAACCAGCACGAGAATGAAGTAATCTAATTACCTGCACAATTACTGTGTTGATATGCCTTATCTTATCGACATTGTCCAGCAGGAACGAATCAGAAGGAAAGAACCCCTTATTCACAAAATAATGGTTCTCAATCCTTGCAAATGCCTGGAGCAAAACCATTATAAGTCATGAGCACCAGCGAAGCTGGTCAAAGTATATCATACTTATTTAGAGATTTCCCCATCCAACAAATTACAGCGTGTCGTATTCCATAGAAACGCGGCATTACAAGGATTTCCATGGCCATAAAATAATCTACAAGAACCATGTCATGCAAAGAGTAGCGTAGTATGTGACTATATCCAATTGAGAACGTTGTACAGCATCCAAATATCATTAAAATACTAAGCCAGCAAAAGGCACTTCAGATTTTCAAGCACTCATCGGTGCAAATGGGATTTATTCATTAGAAAAGCTGATCAAGACAATCAATATGCGATAATGCAGCATATAAGCAGCTTCAGACATTATGGCCAAAAAAAGCAGCCTCGGACATTAGAGACACAATCTAAGCACGTCATGGGAGAAACCATGATTTTAACATCTCATGGACTTACCAGTGAAAAATAATCATCATCTCCTTTCTTTATATTCTCCTCATTTGGAAGTAGATGTGCAGTCATCATTTCCCATTTTGTCCATGCTCTCGCCGCTGCATACTAAGAAGATAAGGGAGAAGTAAGAATATCGAACATGTAAACCAGCAAGTCCTAGTTTCAAATGAGCTACCACAGTCAATTTTCCGTGGTAGAATAGGGACAGCACTTATTTCATTAATCATTCCTGTCATGATTTGTGGAAGTGTCCAGAAAATCAGAGGAAGGCTGTAGAAAGCAGATGGTGGCAAAGCCACACAGTTTTTCCGTCTTGGACAAGAAACTGCTATCTGCTTCGTGAATTTTTTTCTGTCTTCCAGTACACATTACTCTGACATTCTCTCGTAATCAGTGACTTTTTCTTCCACTTTATTAGCTTAAATATTTCTCAAAACAGATTGATCAAGTATGAAACCAAATCCTAATTTTCACAGCATGAAATGAGAAGATGGGTTCTTGCAGTAGATATACAATAACTACAGTCACGGAATAGAACAGAAAAATTTTGGCATCAGAACTGTTTCTAATCTACTTCTTGGCACAGTCTAAGGAAATGTTATAGTATGAGATGCGTAGGTAAGTCGACCTAATTTGAGTTCAATAAAAAAAAACCCAGCACCCTAAAGAGGCATACATATGGGACATAAGGGAAAAGGATATATGATTATCCTGTAAAACACTCTCACCTGTGTTTCCAAATCATCAGAATTCAATCGCTTACTATAGGCACTAAGGAAACACTGCCTCTCATCTGCTGGAATAAGATCTCTAAATGGTTCCCAGGCTGCATAGAAAAGACGGTGTTAATTTTATGTCAAAATAAACAATAGGAATGCAAATTTGAACTTAGTTTATATGCAGCATCACTGAAAAGCCCCTTGAAGGTTCATAATATCAGAAAGAGGAACTAAGACAATTTGATATTCTTTGGCATAATCCTCTCTCATTCATATATATATCGTTCTTGAAACTGCAAAAGCTTCAGATCAGGATCATCCTAAACATATCCAGCAAATTCTCCTAATCTGAAATTTGAGGAGACTGACAACACCCTGCTAACTTAATGAGACTATTTTCCCACTGAAGTTCCAGTGAAGACAAATGTGCCATGATCGTATTATTGCAGACTGCATTCACAGCTTACTGCTTAAACAATTACCATTTGCCCAGTAGAACTTTAAAGTAACTACTAATTTTAAGCCAAAGTTCACTTCTGCAGACACATAAGTAAAGTCATTGATAGCGGCACGAAACAAGTTTCCCCAACGTACCGTCTGGGAATATGGCAGATGCACCACCTTCGTAAAACCAATCAATCTCTTTCTTCCGCACCAGAAAGATCCCCCTAAGTACCAATCCGGTAACCTTGAAGTGACACAAAGATCAGGGCAATAACAAGAAATTGGCTGGGAGTGTAATCTCGACAGAGTAAATGCAATGCAAAGGAAATACCTTCTCAGGGTGCGATTGGCTGTACGCGAGGGCAAGAGTACTTCCCCATGACCCACCAAATACCTGTTAGCATGGACAAACAAATTAAGCTTAGATATGCTAGCACTAATGCAGCTAGCATCCTATATTTTCCGAAGTACGAAAGAGTGTAGACCCATGAACCAAAAAAAAAAAATACTGGTGTACTTTCAAAGTGATAGTTTATATTTCAAAAGATGTAAATCTTGTTGACTTTGTGCCATATAAAAGATGAGAAAATTATCCTTTCTGGCAAGTGCTTTGAAAAGAATTAGTACACAAGCAAGACAACGGCACTATATTCTGAATCATTTCAAACACTTTCAGGTAAATCGATGCACCAATAATGTCTTCAGTCTATTACTCTGAGGGTCCATTCATATCAGACTTCATGATAGTGGAAATCCTGATCCCCTGCCCCCATCACCAAACTGCAGTCATATTTTAAGACAGTGCTTGAACATGAAATTTTACCTGCCATTCTGGAATTTCTAAATGTTCCCTCAGCTTTTCAATATCCGCAACAAGCTCCCATGTGGTGTTTTCTTCCAAGCAAGCATGGGGTGTACTTTTTCCTGCACCTCTCTAGGGAAAGGAGATATTTCTCGGTGAAAGATAATTTGACGGGGGATACAACATATCTTTGCACAGTCATCTAAAGAGGTTACCTGGTCAAAGAGTATTATCCGATAAAATTCAGGGTCAAAGAACCTACGGTTGCTGGGGGACGTGCCCCCTCCCGGACCTCCATGGAGAAAAACAACTGGCTGCAAGATATTTCACAAAGGAAAAAGAAAAGGAGGAAGGCAAGTAAATATAGGTAGGAACCCCTCCTTGATGTAGTGCTAAAAATGAATAATTTAACCATAAGCATCAAGCAAAGAGTAAAACCATTCATGATACCAATTTAAAACAGGCAGAAATAGTCAAAGCATGAGCACAACTAGGGCCATTACTGCTATCTCTTTCGCATTCCCGGCACAAGTTGAGCTTAACTAATTTTGGCATATAATTCGCGTCAATATATATACGATCACACCACCATCCATTAAATCCACAAATGACTAGAGATATGGACAATTGCATAATCCGCCAGCAGAGCAGATAATGGACACTCACATATCCACTGGGATTTCCGGATTGCTCCCAATAGAGGGTGTGGAGATCGGAAACCTTCAAGAAACCCGTGCCATACGGCTCCACGGGAGGATACAGCTCCCGGTTCACCTCCGCCGCTTCGCTCGGCAACTCCACCGGCCCGCTCGACATGGTCTCGGCCGCCGCGATGCTCGAACTCCGGACGCGCAGCAGGCCGAAGCAGCACCTCCTCCTCCTTCCTCCTGGGACAAATTCAAAAGACACAGCGCAGAAATGAACGACAAGAGGAGAGAAACCTGGGACGAAGAGAGCGCGGGCGCGCGCGCACGCTCTCCACTGACCACCCGCGAGGCTACTTATAGAGGGGCGCACGAACAAAAGGGCCGACGAAGCCGAGACGATCCACGCCGTCGAGATCGAACAGGGGCGGGGGTGGTGGGTATAGCTTCGTTTGTCAGCAACACTATGTGGCGTAAAGCATCGACGGAATCGAGTCAAATCAACCCAATCACTCCAGCTACATTCCCCGCGCACACAGAGAGAGAGAGAGAGAGAGAGAGAGAGAGAGAGAACCTGCGAGGACGAGGTTGTCGTGAGCGCGACCGCTGGGAGAGAAGAGGGGGAGGCGAAGGGAGGGGAGACGATTGGAGGAGAGGGAGAGATTCGGGGCAGTGCGAAATGGAAGCCCCGACGAGCTCATGGTTTATTCTTTGCGGTTTTTGTTCGCGTGGGTTGCGTCCCAGCTTTATCGATTCGCATTGTCCAATCCCCGCCCTTCCTTTCTTTCTTGATTGGTGTCAAATTTTAGTTTCCCTACCGCCAAAAACATGCGACCTCCTTACCAAAAAAAACACATTAATTTTGATTAAGAGTTCGACCAAACAAAAGAAAACAACGCATTAGAACAAAAACATGATGTCAGTGACGGGGTCGGCCCTTGGACGGGAGGACGGAATTCCTTTTTATTATTTAATTCTTATCCTCTTTTGTCGTGTCCAATTCCAAGATGGATCTTGTTTATGCAGCCATTTCTAAAGAGGGAGCTATCCCTAATTACAATTTAAAAACTTCATTTTCGAGATTGTACTAGAAGATTTTCCAACCTCTCTCAGAGGTGATGCAATATTTCAAATTCTGAATGTAATTTATCTTACTAAATTGAGAAGATAAGAAATTACTATTAATGTGTGTTTTCTTTCACAGAAAATGCACGTTTTGAATAATATTTTCCTAAAAAAAATTGTTCGCATTGCTTCCAAAAATTAAGGAAAGAAAAATATTTTCATGGCTGTTAATTTCAAGCAATACGAACAATCATCAATAAAAAAAAATATATTTTTTAAATCATGTATTTTTTACGAAAAAAATGATACTTAAAATCCATGTACGGTTACTTCTGGTTATTCAAGATATATAAGTTAATCATTCATGCCCAATGACGTAAAAAGGAAAAATGAAACAACAATATCTTAACAAATGCTAGTTAGTCTATGTTGTATCATTTTGAGCAATGAATAAATTTTCTTTCGAAAAAAAGAAAAACCGACGCTAGTCACACCGTGAAATTTAGCAAATAATAGACAGGAAGATTTATGTGAATAGTTAAAGCTTCATTGATCCATGTTTTTACAGTGTCTGAAGTTCTTTAACCGTCATATCTCAAGCCGCCCAAAGGGGGGAAAACAAGGGGGGAAAACTTTACAGTCGATCTTCTTCTTCAAGCACCTTGATGAAAAAAATATCTCAGGCCTGACTATAATTTATAAGGTGAAGGGGTTGGAAGGAGGATGGACGATGGGCGTCCTCGACATGGTCATGTTGTTCACGAGCACGCTCGGGGCTATCGTGTCCTCCACCATGACAGGATTGACCTGCATCACCCTCTCCGGCACGATCTTCTCGCCGTCGACTTTGGCCAACACCTCAAAGAGCATGCTCACTGATTCAGGCTTCGTCCTCCACACGGGGAAACCTTCGACTTCGCCATCGCCCGCCTTCAATCTCCTCTCTACTCCGAACCCAATCTTCAGAAATGTCTGAGCAGATACATCCGCCTTCAGTAGCCTGAAGGAACCTTCCTCGTTAGCCTTGGGACCCAGAACAGAAGATAGCAGTGCCTCGAAGCCTCGAAGATTAGAGTTGGAACCATTGACCGAGGGAACTGGCCACATGGTGGCGAAATGTTTTGGGGTTAGCAGGGTCATAGCATCTTCTGAAGGTTCGATGTCAGCGACGCGTTCAATAGCTTTGCTTTTCGATGGAGAGGACAGTTCCACAAGGCCAGGTGCAAGGCGCTTGAGCTTGAGCCGGTTGCTCGAAGAGGTGGAGGATGATGATGGTGAGGCAAGCGAGGTCGGGCCAACTATGCGGAGGGAAAGGAGTGATTCACCTTGAGCACGGGATGCTTGACGGAGCTGTTCAGCAAGAGCAAGAAGACCAGAGGCAAACCCATCACCGGTCCTATTTAAAGGAAGGTGCAGCTCTACAGGTCGTCGAAGGCTCACTGATCTGGCACCCTTAACAGTGACCACGGCACCCTCAGCCAAGATAACTTTCTTCAGGACACCAGCATCCACATCATGCTGCATAGATCAACAGGACAAAAATGATAATCGGTAACAGATTAACTTTCAGATACACGATCATCCATCTTAGCTCCATTCTTGAAAATAACAGACAAACAGTGCTTTGCTGCAATGCATAATGTCAAAACAAGAGAATCATGAAAGGGTCTAAATGATCAATTTTCAAATCAAGAGTTCAATTTGTTTATCTCTCTTTGAAAGAAAGGGCATTGTTATTGCATGACCACCGCACTTCACCAAGGAATATCTCAATAGCTCAACAAATTCATTTTTTCAGTTCCACTCATTGCGCTCAATTCACTCTAAGCCTTCAACATTGCAGAAGAACTATGCATTAATACCGTCACAAATTACTCTCTAAACCGCACCATCAATTGCCGAATCAACAACGAATACATCTCCTACATCCATCCTCCATGTCTATTCACCGAATTAATCTTACCAAGAACTATTGAAAGATGCAGCATTGCAAAGCATGATTAATAAGGGCATATTAACAACTGATCACTTACTGGCAACGAGATCCGCATGTCTTTCGCATCTTGAATCCACAGTTCCATCGGCCCGGCCAGCTGAAATGGAGCCAGTACGGGCAGGGCACGGTCCAACTTCCTCTTCTCAATCAACGCGTTCCCTTCGCTAGCCCCAACCGCATCCTCAACCCGGAATATGGGCAAATCCACGTACTCCCACCGGTTCACATCCTCCAAGAGCTTCAAAGGAAGCACCTTGTCGTCAATCTCCACGTCGAACTCATAGGCCACGGCGTGGCCCACGAGCGCGTCCCCAACGTCGAACCCGGACACCTTGAAATCATCCGCTTGGAATCCCAGCCCTTTCACAATCGCTTCCTTCAAATCCTACAAAAGGCCCACACAAACACATCACCGTCAACATTTTCCAATCCGATCACGCAATTCCCACCACATTTCAACAAAGACCCAAATCCCACGAGTCCCTCGACAATCGAAATCATTCCACACAACTCTCCCAATCTTCCAAATCGATTCCGCAATTAATAAATCGAGCAGCGAGAATAACTAAAAACCAAGACCAATCTATCAATCAAGAAACATCAATTTCGCGAAGTCAAAGAAAAACTCCCAAAAAATAAAAGCCTCATCATCCGAACGCCCCCCGCCAAAAATCCGCTCAAGAAAAGCAGAACAATAGAACCGGGCCAACGGGGCAAGCCAGTGGCAACTCACGGATATGGCCTTGGGGTAGATGGGTTGAACGCCGGGCGTCGTGATCAGCGCCGTCGAGAACGGCCGGATCGCCGCGAGCACCAGAAGCAGGGGGCAAAGCCGAACCGCCGCGAAAGCCATCGGAGCGGAGAGCAAGCACCGGCGACGGAATCGGAAGCTGACGAGAGAGAGAGGGTTTTTCCTTTCGCCGGCGATCGCGGGATCGGATTGGAATTAGGGATTTGGGAAGGAGAGAAGGAGAGGGGTCTCCGAAGCGGCGATGGGTTTTTCGAGCTCTTTTGATTTTGTGATTCGCAACGGACGGGGTTCCCCGATATTTGCAGGGGGAGGAGGGGATGATGATGGTTCTGGAACTTCTGGACACGCGGCGGGCGGATAACGCGGGGGAGGCGATGACGTGGAGCGGACGGGCCAATGAGAGGAGAGGAAGTGATGCGGTATGCGTTGAAGCGGCGGCGTGCGATTGGTCGGTTGACGAGGATGGCGTGGCGGCGACCGCTGGCCGCGATTTCCGGAGCCTCTTCCTGGTCTTGGGCTCTAATTGGGCCCGGCGACCCTCGCCGCTAAATGGGCCGGACCGGGCCCACTCTTTTCGGGAACGGCGTCGTTTTCCGAGCACGGAAGGAAAAAAAAAATAGTGAAAAGAATGGCGTCGCCCGGGCTCGAACCGGAGACCTTCAGTGTGTTAGACTGACGTGATAACCAACTACACCACGACACCGTTCCTGACACTTTCCTCATTAAAATATATATGGAGAGATAACAACGTCTGAGATTCATTTGCTTTCTTGGTAGGCATGAAATGAAGGTGATTAGCTCATGTGCTTATTTACATCAGTTATTTCGTATGCCTAATGATATTTCTTGATACTTCACCGTGAATCACGAGCTTGGATTCTTTGGTCAAGAAATGACACCTCCGTGGCGAGAAGATCGTTCGGGCGTTTGGAGAAGAATCGGTGGGGTTCTTGATATTTTTGTCAACGATGGGAGAGCAATTAAGCTGGAAATTTTGACTCTTGAGCTCGGTGGCAAGAAGTTGAAAGCAAGCAACTTAGGGAAGACTTTACATTGCCAGCAGCCAATCTTGTAATGCCATGTCGATAACCTTCAAGCCTTAATTGGTGCTCTAATGAAGCATAATGAACTTTAATTTTTTGAAGTTTATGTTGTGTCTGATTAGTTATGTCATAGTCCAAGAAGTTGTGCAGTCCATGAAGAAAGCAAACTTTAATTAATCAATGAGGGAGACAGGTTCACAATCATATCAAGATCCACACAATCTTTGGTGGGGACAGCTCTAGTGACAGATGATTGCAATAAGTTTTTGCAGGTGTTCTTGGTTTGATTGGCTTCTGTAGAGCTGAACTCCTGTATTCTGGGACCAGACTCGTATTGTATCTGTCAAGTTCTCTAAGTCAATGTACATCTACCAAATCACTAAAATAATTAAGGGTAGCACTGGCTACAATCCTACACCCCACCTAATTGACATCAACCCCCATACTGAACTTAGTTTTGACTACAGAGTTACCACAGTATTAGTGTCATAAGTAACTGCAGACAGTTAAACAGTAAATCCTCTTTCTGTTCTAAGCGAAAGCGATTAAACATCCCTGTAAATTCCACATGAACCCAATGCTTTTGCTGTCACTTTGATACGGTAAGCCAGAGTTTCTCCTCGTACCGAATTTTAGAAATTATATGCAACAAAACGTTAGGAGATTGTTGATTTTCCTTTCAATTTACCCCATAATTAAGGGACCTTCAGGAAGATGCGGTGCACCGTAGGAGAACCGACTGGACAACTGTTGACAAGAATTTCATATTTAGTAGACCAGACAATACCATGGAAATACAACAAGGCATCTATTTATTTTCACTACCTTGAAACAGACTCTTACAAGGAAAAGAGGCTTATCAACATGTAAAGATGCCTCTAAAACACTGACGGAACCAAGTACAGGAACAAAGGCCACAAGCTCCACACTCTTAAAAAACCAGTCTCTTCATATTGTAAGGAGAGAAACAACAGTTTGGTTGAACTATCAACCTCCCACTAAAAAACCTTGAAGAGCCATGAGAAGAACAATCTTGAACAGGATGGCCATGAACATGATCAACAGATTGACCACGCAAAAATCAGATGGAGAACCCTCCTGCAAAATGAATCTCACGGCAAGCAAAGCGTTGATGGTAAATGGTCTTGGAGCATGGAGCATCACAGGCCTTGTAAACAGATTAATATAAACGATATCGAGATGGTTTGAAGGACTCTTCCTTGTCCTTAAAGCTCCCAAACACAGCAAGTGAACAGAAATGGCGGTTATTCCGTATGTGAACAGAAGCAAGGAGTTATTTTTCTGTCACATGAATGACTTCAAAGCTGTGCGCAGATTTTTTACGAGATCCTTCACAGGCATGCAGAATTCAGGATCCATCTGCAATAGTTACGGGAGATGAAGGATTACTTTGCAGTACGATTAAACTGGCAACACTCATGAGCTGAAACTACATTTGTGACTTGCCTAATTCATGGACTAAAGAAGGAATATCTGATTCATTTGATGCACTTAAGATAACTACAGAATATTCTTCCCAAATAGACACTTCCCATTACGAAGTACTGTGTAATCTGATAATATTAAATCTAAGACCGAAAGCTGATGGAAGGAAAGTAGCTACCTGAGCAAGAATCGTTATATCAACAGCAGATGTCCCAAAAGTCATGAAACTGCTATTAACGATGGTCAAATGGAGTTTCTCAACTTCACCAAGTATCTTTTCCAGAACTCTCTTACTTTTCTCACAGTGAACTTTTATGAGGACATCGTTGTCGCAAATTCTTGCTTCGACTTCTGGTAGCAGCTCATCACAAGGGCCACTAGATAAATTCTCATCTGTAGAAGAATTCATGCCATCGTCAAATACCTGAGATTTTTTCACAAAGACTACTGACTCCATGCTTCTCTTTCGAGTCTGCTCCTCAAGTATCTTGACTCTTTCTTGGAGTTGCTTCAAGTACTTAATTGCATCACCAAGAACAGAAGCCTTGTCCATCTGTTAATGACAGGGCAAAGCAGGGTAAACATGAGATGATTTAATTGAAGAGGGAGGAGAAGCAAAACATATTGCAACCAAAACACCAACTGTCCAACTGCTCCATTAATTTTAACGTGTATTGCTCAGAAAAATTCCACTAAAGAGACTTTCCATATGATAATATTGGATTATGTCAAGGAAAAATCATTCCAAGAAAAAACATTTCCGACCTTCTTAAGTCCAGGGACAAGGGCAGACAAGGCGATAAACCGTTGACTGAGCTTTTCTCGCCGTTTTCTCTCTGCCATGATGTGATCTTGTGTCTGAGATAGCCTATTGTTTGTATTCACCCCTTTACCCCCATGACAAGCCTTAAGTACACAATTCTGGTTCCCAAATGAACCCTGAGGAAAAAGCATATCAGCAGAGACGTTTCCAGTGCTCTCAGAACCGATTGCCTCCTTTTTTGGTTTCACAGCACTACTTTGATTTGTGAAGTTGGAAGCTACGAAAGAAAGAACATTGGAGGGAGCGAACGATTGAGGAGTTGACACAGGATCAACTCTGCATGAATTCCAGCTATTTGTTTTGAGCTGTTTTACTGGCCTGTTGATCACGGAGTTAGAAGCATCCACAGAAGCTTTCGAATTGATGTTCGGTTGAGGGAAAAATCCTTGCATATGTTCACCCAGTGCAGCTGCTAGCGGAAGTGTGTTAAGCTCATCAAATGAATGCATTTGCCAAGGATTGATGAAGCCGGAATCCTCCATTCCCTGTGCATTCAACGTGGAATTTATTTTATTTGCATACATATTACTTGTATTGTAGTCATCACAAATCCAGGAGTTGCGCATTGATATCTCGTCTAATCTCAAATCTAACCCAAGTTGAACTTGTCCTGGCGGTTAGTCAGATTTTCCCAATCCCTTGAAAGAACCCTCACGATAAAAAAAAATTGGCTAAGAGAAGATCAATAAAAAAACTTACCATATGCGGGAGTCCTCTCATGGTAGTTATTTCCATCGAAGAAGCTTCTTTCAGATTGAAAGAGCAAGTTGGAGAATCCTACGATCAATTAAGCAAACATGTCACTTGATCTTGAGGACACATATATTGGAGAAAATGCTGCATTTAAACTTATGCGTCTCCCGAAAAGCATGCCGAAACATATAAATGTGGACAATCTATTGAACTTTTGCGATTGTGATTGCAAGCAGAAAGCAGAAGAGTAATCAACTTAATTGGCTAAACAATCAAGAATTCAGCTAAGTTGCAGAACTCTAAGAATATGACCAGAATTCCTCACCCTTAGATGGTGACCAAAGTTACCCCTTTCGCTCCCTTCTTTACAGAAGAAGACCTTGTGCTTATTCAATCTTATAGCTCTTACCCAACACAATACCCCTCACATACGGTTGAGTTGCTGATGTGAAAACGCCTCCTGCATTTGACATTGATGCTTCTCATAAAATAATCGAGAAAAGCCCATATTCTATACTAGTGGGTCGCTTTTGCTGACAACGTTACTTTCAGGGACAAGCCACTTTTGTTGCTTAGTTAGACTTTTTTAAGCACGACCATCACCAGCCCCAGCAAAAGTTAAGGAGCACCAACTAGCCGCTGAAATCTCGTTCAAGCTTTATACTTTTCACAAGCAGGTCGCACACTAATGCGGTCCCCCCGAGATCACCCTCAAGGCCACCTCACACATGCGTTCAAAAGCCAATAAGAAACAAGGGAAGCTCCCTAGTGAGCCAGCCAGCCAACCCAACCCACTACATAATTGGAGGTCTCATACAGGCCAATCATCAAACAGTTTGTGCTCATGTGAACAGGGGCAGACCCCATAATCACAAAAAGGCTCCTTTTGACTTTTTTAGCCTCCCTCCATCCAATGAAAGGACGACGTGTCCCCAGACAGCTCTTGGGTTTTTCTAGAACCCGATGTCTCCCGTGGCCGTACAACCAATCAAGAAATTCTTGGGTAGGCAATGGCCGGCCTGACAGTCTGAAAAATCCCATCTTTTTTTCTTCGCATTGCTGACCAGGGCCAAGAAACGGTTGGGAAAGCGATCGGAGGATCAAGAGACGGACAATTACTGAAGCTTTAAGAGCTTCTTGTTCTTTTATCTCTATCTGACCCAAGCTTGCCAGCTTGTGCTATATGATGGTCAAGCTTTCTTGAGATCGGGACGATATGCTTTTAATTTATTCATCGTCAAAGATCCTCCTCGAGTATATTTCACTACATTAAGCTACGGCAGATCTCATACACCAATTATTTGGGGGAGGGGGTTGTCCTTGTTGTCACGGACTCAAAGTACCCGCCATGTGGTTCCTTCGTTCAATCAAAGTTTTTCAGTGAGTGTGGTTTTGCACGTACACAAGGACGAGTACGACGACCAATCAAAGGCTGGGGCAGTTCAATTACTTCGGGACAAATCCCGAGAAGGATCAAGTTGACAAAACTTTTAAGAAAGAAAGATGTAATTCTCGAATATAATCACCAAAATCATTAGATGTGGCGAATACCCGATTCGGCGAACCGAGTTTGCGATCTCATGTTAAAATCCCCGCTGGATGTGGGCAATAACAAAAGATAATGGGATGAACATTGCAGGAGATCAGCCGTCCCAAATCCGTCCTGTTTCTAGCTCTAATATTTGTCATAGAATGATGAGACATCAAAATTTTTATCATTCAAATGATGCGAAATCCCGGTATCGGGTACAATTTGACCATGACAGAATTCTGGTCTACATTGATACCACTAAAATCAGATCAGGGTCATGTTTATATACATGAAACATGTGGTTTTCATTTTTGCTGCTTCTCAAAACCACTTATTAGCTTTGCTAATGTGCCTGATCTGAAAAACAAACTCACCTACCTGTGAGAAAGCCCAGAACAGAGGACGCCACTGGCCATAGACAGTCAGATCAAGGATTTCGTAGTTCCAGCCAATTTGCAGGTTGGGGGAAAACTAAACCTCTGTCCTCTACTCCTGATTCTTTACCCTAAAACAAGACAGACGTAACAGAACGTGCAGATATAATTTTATGCGGATAGCAGAAGATACACTGCTAGAAATTTTAAAATTCAGTTGCCCAATCTGAAAACTCCGGTGACTTCTCTACCATCCCAAATTAATCAAATTCATGTTTACATGTACAGCAACTGGGGGATCAACTATATACGTCTGAGGTGTTAGTGAAGGGACACCCTTTACGGTATAGGGATATGAACTGTGGACCATGGAATGAACTTCCTGCAACTATTCAAATAGATACACACAAACTGAATCGTAGAGAACTGTCGTCACATCTGGGTATCAGCTGATATAGATAATTAGGGGACTCAGGGAACTCTGTACTAATCACGCATTAACTGACAAATCCTCCCCGAATGGTGCTAACTGTGAACTTGTGGTAATGAAGGCCATGCAATCTCATTGTCATCAGTATATCCGTGTATAAGAAAATCAGCACAGTTTTTCCGGCACCCATGGTTGTAGGGATTATGGAAACGCCCATCTGGGCCACGAAGGTACCCGTACCGGATGGCATTGGCTAGCTCATTGGTGGTGACATTCCGGGCTATCTGCATCAAAGATGAAAGTTGGAAAATCGCTTGTTACATTCTCGAGGAAGTAACAGACAGAATGCAGCACAAAGGAAGTTGATCGAGTGAGTAAAGGAAAGAGAAGGGTGCATCTGATGAGCAGATATCATAAGAACAATCATTTAAGTATAATGCAAAAAGGAATGACGCAAGCACACATACATTTAGATAATATCATATGCTTTGACCAAAAAAATAATAATATCATATGCATATATATATAGGCCAATTATTGTGATAAGGATTTCATACGTCATTTGCATCAACAAATTATGTTGGATTCTGTTTTGCAGTGTAACTAGTTCGGAAGAGGGTCCGGCTTCCCGTTATCTTCTACCAACTAACTTATGAAGTAATGCACATAGATCAAACATGCATTAGACGGCCAAAGATCAACCAAAACTAAAATAACACCGTGTCAAAGAAATGAACTATCTGTTCCAGTTAAAACCTTATAATGACATTGTTCAATCAACTGTTATGGATGAGAAATAGGTTACAGACTGCCTGAATCTAGACAAGTACCTGAGATGCCTGTGCGGTTGTCAAAGTTGTAACAGCAATCAGAATGATGCCGTCGAGAAACAAAAATACAGCAATTCCAGGATGTTGAACCATGACATAATGAATCCATGACTTGCCCATTGGAAATGCGGCTGTGGCGGTCCATATCCCTGCCAAAAGTTTACTTTCATGAGTCAATAATGAATCTTGATAGCAACGTAAGAAAAAATTGGGAGACAAAGAGTGGAACATACTTTGAACTGCAATGGCAGCGCCAAGAAATGATGTCGATGTGGCCATACAAATCATAACAAAGAAATCCCATTTATTCTTCTGCAATAGGCAAGTGAATTTTAGTTGTGAAACAAAGAGTAACAAGAGATATCTTTAAAGAATAACAAACAATTTCTAATTTGGTGCAGAAACATTTACGCAAGAGAGAGCTAAAACATGGTAATTTCTTGGAGAAAGAAGAAGAAAACAAGTAGCAGAACTCAGACGATACTCAACCTTGACAATTAAAAGCTCAGGCCTTAAAGAAACAACCATGGACAAAGATCCCGTGAAACTACAGAAGGGTCTTGTAACAAAACAGCATTTTCAGATCTATTGTTTTCCTTTGTCATGTCAACATAGTGAGAGGAAGCCATGAACATACTGACGGTAAAATTTTCTATGCTTCTTTTCTCATTCTAACCAGCAAGAAAGTGACTTCTTACCTTCCCAACACAGTTAGATATCCAAGGGCAATGATGATCAAACTGTTCAATGCAGTGCTTACATGAAGGACAGTGTTTTGAGCGGACAGGTCGAATAATCTGATGGAAAACCATGACAATAAGTTGAATGCACATGAACAAATCCGTACTCATGAGGATAACAAGGGAATAACCCAAAGGCATATCAAGCAAACCTTGCAAGTTGGGCAAAGCTGAGACCATTTTCCGGTCCATAGAGAGGAGTTGTTAACATCAATACTCAGCAAAGGATCCTGCAAAATGAAAAATTACTGTAAAACACTGACAAAGGTAGTTCCTCTATAGAAAAATCTAAAGTACGTAATATGTTGCCCAAAAAAAAGTCTTGCAACAAAATCTCTGGACCTTTCACATGTCAGGGCCACATACGTTCCTCATAATCTCAACCAGGACACCCGGCTTCATTACTAAGAAAAGTGCTCTACGGAGTCACCAACTGCGCTCATTATTGTGTGACATGAGGATATCCTAGTTAGAATCATTTGAGGAAAGCTGGGATGTAAGTTGGGATGTTTGGCTTAAATGCCTCTTTCCTTCCTAGCTTTCCATTTCAATCCATGCAACCATTTTGTCCGAAAATTACTGACATATATACACTTACTTTTGCAAAGCTCAGAATAAATTAGTACAAATTACATCAGTAATCATTATTGAAGAGACATTCCGTACCTCAGCATCCTGATGATTGCCCAGCTCCCTTGGTGTCTTTATATAGCCTGGGTCTTTACTGCATCCACAGGCAATAAGCAATTAAAAGCTCACACCCACATAAACATTCCAAAGGCAATCATGAAACTCTAAATATTTCACTGCTGGCATTATGCACACAGCCTATCCACGAATGTAAACTCTAGACTGATCTTTTCAGTTTTAAACTTTCGATTATCGAATCAAAAGGGAGTAAGTTATGTAAAAAAAAATGTCCAATTCTATCTTACCAAAGAAGATCGACTCCATGAACCGCTGTCTATAGTCAAAAGATACTTAAATGGAAAACCAGAATCTAAAATTATGTTCTTATTCAGAATACAAACAAAAGCTGCAATGCATCTACACCTTTCGCACATAAAAAAAGTTTTTTCTCCCATGAGCTTGCTCTCTTTCATAGAAATCATACACTTCCCATTAAGGAGAGAGGAAAAAACAAGTAGTCAAGGAAGCTAACAGCATAATCTCATGCAGCCAAAAAAGATTAACAAGAGACAGGTGCCAATTCCTACCAAAGTTCACTTTAGATATATAAACAAAAGATTTACTAAAGAAAAGACAGTTCAAACTTCAAATCAAGTGTGGCATTGAAAAGGAGCTACCTCCAACACCTGAAGACCATTATCAGTGAACCAACTGCCAGTGAGATAGCTGTCCACGCCCAAAGGCCAACAGACGCAGTCACCTTTGGGAGATCAGGTGCTGGTAACATGAACAAGGGATTGATTTATAACAAGCAAACGAGGGCATAATTATCTTCAAAAAGTAAATTGTTATATTAGCTTTTTACCGGCAAGAACTGAGTTGATGAAGAGTATAGTACAAAAGATTATAATGCACAACAAAATGGGAGCATAACCACTATCACCAATCTTCCCACTCCGAATTTTGTCAGTCCAATGATTGCTCATTGCCCGCTCCGCATTGGACTGAATGAATGAAAACAAACGTGGTTAGTGATTGCATGGGTGGTGGTAAACAAAAGAACAAGCTTTTCTGGAGAAAAATACTATTCCAACAAGCAAGTCTCAGGGACTACCATTGCGTGGATTCCAGATCAACAGAGATCAAAGATACAAAATCAAACAATTTAATATTGCATAAGTAAAGCCCGTATTAGCAACAGTGGCTAGACGTTATTTCCTTCAAAGTTAGCCACAAAGATGTGAGGAAGATACATACAAGGAAATAAGCGACAGCCCGGTGACCTTTATTTGAAGCAAGTTGGGCTGGAGTAACTCCTGCATTATCTTTAACCTTTAACTCCTGCTTTGTGCCTGCATGGACAAGCACTGTGCATGCCTCAACATTTCCTCTTAATGCGGCCCAGTGCAACGGGGTACAACCTAACAACACACAATACAAAAAAAGTACCACATTAGAAACAGTGACTGCTCCCATTCTTAGCATTAAAAACTTGCTTTGATCGAATAAAGTGCAAAACCTAATACAGCATGCCAAAATCACAACATCTTCTAAGAGGTTATCCAACAGAAGTGCTCATGGGTTTTATACATGGATCTGAGCTACTGATAAACCATCTCATCATGAGGACCAACAAAACAGAAGTAAGATAGCAACTAAGAAATCTCAACAAGTTCATATAATTTGCATGCAATAGACCATAAAATGGCAAAGAAAACCAAAGAAACATATATTGCCCCACAATTTGTAAAGACCAGCTGTTAAACAAGGTCAAGTTAGTCCACACAGTCAAATTTTGTGAAGACCAGCTGCTAAACCTTTATTAAGTTCCTCCAAGCTGCTGCACCACAGCCTATTGTTTTGCCTTCGCCATTCACAACAGTGAGAAACTTATCTATTTAGTTAATAGTATGTATGGGGATTACCAAAGTTTGAGCTAATATATTTTCATCTCATTATTATTTAGAAATGACTTGATTAGCCTAAAATACCATTGCCTAGGCAATTCATCATGGATCACAAACCATCTATCACAACTACCAACAGTATGGTCCATTCAGGCTCATCCACAAACTTCATGCCAGGAACCAGATGCATCATGAGAAAAGACAATCCAAAATGGAGCATTTTCTGGACCAGTCGCTGCTAGAACAACTAAAAGTCCCCACAATAAACCACTTCGAAGAGTAAATAGGTAACATATAGAAGTTCTCCTGACATCTGGAAAAGATTGCCATGCATATACTCACTACACCTTCTTTATCTTGTCTTCCCTGGGATGCATCTCTAAAAAGAAGTAATCTGATTGTGTCAGCATATCCTTTGTATGCAGCCCTGATCAAAGCAAAAGAACAAGCATTCACTGACCATTCATAAAGTACAATGTAGGACAAAAAGAAGGATGAATATGCCGTTATCATTAAAAGAAAGTTTCTAGT